CGATTTCCATGGGGGTCATCATCACGATCATCACGCCGCCCTGCAGGTCACGGCGATAATCGGGCCGTATTGGCGCGGAGCCATTGTCAAGACACGATTGCCAACGAGTTCCCCGTCCGACCGCCTGACCGTCCGGTGTAACGGAACGGAAAATATGATACAACCCGTGCCACCCGCCGAGGGCGGCATAACCGGCCGGGGGACAACCGGTATTATAGTCAACTTGCAATGCGGTGAATTTCAAGGGCAAGTCGGCGAGAAAGCTGCGCGTTAACTAGTTGGTATCTTAAAGATAGTTCCTTTGAAAATTTCGGGATTGAGAATGTCGATGAATGTCGACATTTTGAATTTCGAAATTATAAACGAAAATCCCCGAAAAATACCGATATAGTTTCTGAGGTCATATAAACCTTGAACCTTGCTCAACTTTTCTAATCGATCCTGAAAAATCTCTAAAAAATCTAAAAATCTATAAAAATCCCCGAAAGTTTGGAGCTTGCCCCCTGGGCTAAAAACTCCCTCGCCCAAACCAGCCAGGGTTTTTCCGATTTTTTTTGCCGTGCTCAAACATGCCGGAGCAGATCAAGGTGATGCACCAAGTGCGTGTGCGCACGCGGCAGTAGTACAGCCCTCCGCCGCGTCTTCAGAGATCGCTGGGTGGGATAAGCCGGATCGAGAGGGCGAAGTCGAGAGTGGTGATGGACCGTAATTCCATACTTTCCACCGAAGGCACAACAAGCTCGTGTACACACACATACACACGGGGAAAGGGCAAAAGCCGGCGATTCGAGAAGGCCGGCTGGCGGGAAGCCACGCATTTTCCTACTAAAAAATTGGGAGGTGGGCGGGAATAAGATCTTAAACCATTAGGTTTCTTCTTACGCCTTTCTTATTACGGGTATATACGGGTTAAAACGAATACGATACAATGCGGATTTTCAGGTATCGCAAGAACAGCCGCTCGATTTTTGGCCGCCTTACGTCCAATCGCTCCCAAAACTGGAGCAAATGTGTATTGGACAGTCGATAAAAGTAAGCCTGACTTGCAGCCCAGCCGCTGCAGTGCCTCTCGAAAATTAAAAATGTTTTGTTCGTTTTGGGGCGTTTCCGGGAGAACGGAGCATCGGGTAAGCCGTTCCCATGTTCCATTAGTGCACCGATCTGCTGATAAGGGTTCTTACGGATGGATTCCTGCCCGCGCGGTACTTCTACAGACGCTCTATCAGTTTTTTCCATGAATCGTGGAGAACTTTGCATGCGAAATGTCTGCGTTTCTCAGCGAGGCGCGCTCCTTAAACTATTCAAAACAAATTATTCCACTCATGATAAACGCAAAGTCACAAATGCGAAGTCGATGCGACAACTAGAAATCGTTGAGAAATCCGAAGAAAGCGCAACCCTCTGGTGAGAAATAAAAAACGTATTTCGGTTACAATTCGACATTTGCTATAGCTGTGGTACCGTCAGACGGCATGATCGTTCTTTAGTGTCCGAAACGTCTCTGGACCAATTTTCGGAGTGCTTGGATGGAAAGCAGCAAAATCTTGGTGTAGTCGGTTTTTGTGTGTGAAGTGTAGTTTTTGGGATGCCAATCGCTTTCCAGATTGCGCCTTAATGTGGCCATCTCATTTATTTTTAGCTGATTCCCAAAACCAATCGGTCATAAATAGTTGTTGCAGCGCGAACCCCGACACCCCGCTGCGGGCACCGAAACGGGTTACTCCCCCTGTAAACAAAAGCTTCAAATGGGAGGGACGGGTTGTGGGGGTCGAGATGGTGACAATGCCCCCAGCATGAAGAACACCTCCTCAAGCAGCACAGGCTGGCTCACTTTCATCGGCCATTCGCTTGCCCCCGACGGCATTTTTTCGATCCAGCCCACCGGGCGCTGCTGACCTTTACCTTTTCTGGGGGGATGGCATTTGGATGGCGCTTGTGTTTTGGATGCTGGGATTTCCAGGGTTGAACTGGAATCAGCTTTTCACTTTTTTTCAATCGTTTGGTCATGTTCGATTTAGCCTATGTTAACCTTAGGGTCCTGATATGCTACCATGGTCCGAATCACCAACTTTCGAGCTTCAGCCGTTTCATAATTGTTTGGGACTTCATGCGTCCGAATTCTGGTTGATCATCATCTACTTCTCACGTGTTTTCGATACCTCTACATACGCGTGTTCTCTATGTTTTATTGAAACAGTTACATGCAGATCATTGGGGTTTTTTTTGCTTAAACTCTGTTAGCTTCGCAAAAAAATGCTTCGGAGCCCTCGCTCGACCCCCGCTTCTACGTACACTGAGCCACGGCATTCCACGGAGGCACGGATAGGACCCCCCGGGGCCGCGGCGCAATCGGTTAGCGCCGATCTCAAATCTCAAACAGAGGGTCCGGGTTCGAACCCCGGGACCAACGTGCAACCGCTATTTCTCCCCCAAAACCTTTGCCAAGCTTTTGCGTTTTGCTTAAAAACTGTGCTCCAGCCATTGAAAACTGGCTAAAACAATAAGGATCTGGAAAAATTAACCCGATCAAAAAGAGACGGTTGATCCACTGGCGTACATTTTCGCAAAACAGTCACTTGGAGCCATTTTAAGCGTCGATTTCACGCACTGGGGGGTAATCGACCTTGATTTTACCAAATCTAGGCTCAGATTTCAGCGACAATCCTTGGTTTCTGCGCTATTGAAAACCGCACAAAATCCTGAACTGAACTTCAAAAGGCCATCACAAAAAAGTACCAGAATAGATTTTCGATAGTTAGGTCTCAAAATCTGCGCCTTGGCGTCTAGAATATTTAAATCTAATTGAGTTTCCAATTTTTCTATTACATTTCGAGAAAAATCCAATTTTGTCCAAAGTTTGTTCATTTTCGAACAAAAACGTAGCGAGCGCGCTGTCCCCTTGTGCAAGGGAGCCTGCCGTAGCCCAAAAGCTATCCGTGCCTGCCTGTTAAAGCCTGGAATGGCGTGGAGCTTCGACGACTTGCTGTAAAATTCATGCTCCTTCAGGGCTGCATAATCACATTCATGAATCATCCCAACATGCAAATTACAGGTTACAACAGATAATGCAGAACTTCTTGGGTGCCATCAATTCAATCATAAACTTTTTCTAAGCGCAACCGATTTTCGAATTTCTGAGACATCCGTCTTCGCTTTCTTTGTCTAACCGCGGCTTGTTCCAAATTTTCCATCATCTTAAAAACCGTTTTACTAACCTAAGGCCACAATTTCAGGATGATAATATTTATATTCCTGGCATTCAGCCAATTTTTGTCCGTCTCCACCATCAGCACGACAAATTTGCCGATATGCGTGTGTCCGGAAGTCAAATGCCCCGTTTGTTCAGGCAAGCAATTTTGCCATATTCAAATAGTTGCCATAATCACGTTCAGACTGCTCGAATCAACGGTTTGTCCGGATTCTCGGGTCACCGAGGAGCAGCCCGGCGCCCAGGTTGATCAGAAATAATCTTAATCTTACCTGAAAATTCCTAGAGCCACCCTGCCAAGCAAATGGCCAATCGTCGAAAATTCGGCTAAAGTGAGTGGTTGATGGCAAGCTGGCAGAGTTTCTTAGAGAATCTAGGCGGAACCGAGTTGATCTTGGTTTTTTAGGCCACACCAATCTCACAAAAAGCCGCCGACCCACTCCCACGAGCCGAGCAGGTACGCCCAAGCTTGGCGCCGAAGGCCATTCTCCGGCCAATCACGCTCGCGCCCGCAAATGTCACCAAGCGAGCCGTAGCGTCAGGTTGGTGATGAACATCCCCGAGCCATATCTGTCAGGGCTTTTTCCCATTACCTCTTCTAATATAGCCGCTCGAATAGAACCCTCAAAACAATGTTACAAAGTGACTCTAAGAAGTAAAAATGCGAAAAACGTTTCTGGTTAAGCTTACCGTGGTCCCAAGTTGTTATTTTAACCTATAAAATTCGTTGTAATTCCTGCGGTTCTAGCCCGATCCGCCACAGTCTCCGTTCGACGAGCGTCGTCCACATGGGGTCATACGTTCACCTGGCCGGCTACGGGTGGGTACAAATTACGGGGAATCCGTCACTTTTTCGGAAACCCTACCATAACAATTATTTCAGAAGCCCGCCTGCGCACCATCGTTCCGAAAACGACCACCATGCTGCCGAGCGGAGTGGCGCTCTCACTGCAGTAAGCTCTTCTCAAGCTTCAAAAAAATGATAAAACCTTCACTAGTACTCCAGAAATTGTAAACTTTCAGAAAAGATGATTACGATCTAAATGAGGAGGAGGTGTTCCTGGCCAAGCGGTTGGCCGAGGAGCAGGCTAGGCAGACGACGGTAGGTTAGGAGTCAAATCTGGTCGTTTTGAGGTGATATTGCGGTTTTATGCTGGGAAATAGTTGATTTGCTAACTAGAGTTTCAAATTTTGTACAAGTTCCACCACTTAGCAATTGAAGAGCGATGGTGGTCTTTTTAGAAAAAGCTCCTCAAAGTTGACGGTTGTCAAGCAAGCGCCATAAATAAACAAAATCACCCCTTGCGCATCCAGTTTTTCGCGAAGTTCGTATCGTCAGGAAGTTTTTGAGCATTGTAACGTGGCTAAAATTTTCGGGGGTTTTGAATTAGTTATGGCAATGCAATGGAAAAAATCATCATCTAAAAACACGTCCTGGCCCGCGCCTCCTGTATCGTAACGGCTATCCCAGACTCTATCTGAATTCCAGACCACCACCCCGACGACGACCACGACGAGTACGACGGCTAGTACTACTACTACTACAACCACCACGACAACTACGACAAGCACGACTACTACCACAACTACCCCGACGACCTCGACGACTACTACTACCACAACTACCACAACCACAAGTACCACAACTACCACGACGACATCGACGACGACTACTACTACGACGACTACAACCACAACAACTACCACCACCACCGAACCCATCGAGATCGAAGAGTTTGACAACTCCAACGACGTCAAGCGCTCCCTCCAACAACCCGAGGAATTTGAGAAGATGTTCGTCCCCGTCGATGATGTCTCCACGATCGCCCCAGAATCCACCACCGTCTTTGTCACGACCACCACCGCCTCGTCCCGGTTGATCATCTCCAGTGAAGCGCCCACGTTGCCCCAGATTGAGAGGAGTAAGTCTTATAGCTCGCCAAAAATGTATTATTTAGTCTCGCCATCCGGCTACGCGTCGAGCAGTCTCTTTGGGGACCAAACACACACCTTCGACCCGACCAAGTGCAACAACGAGGCATGGATGCGGCTGCTTGAGGCGGTGAGTTCTGGGGTTGATCCTCTACTCGTCTGATTTCCAGAAAATGAAGGAAAACGATGCGACGGCTTCGAAACTCAGCATCTCGAGGCAGTTGGGTGACGCGGCGATGGAGCTCGTCAGTGTGTTGTGCTCAAAGACAACGATCAGGTGAGGGAGAAAGAAAGGGAGCGAGAGAGAGAGAGAGAGAGAGCGAGAGAGAAGAGAGAATGAGTGAGCGAGAGAGAGGTAGAGAGAGGGAGCGAGAGAGAGCGAGAAAGCGAGAGAGAGAGAGCGAGAAAGCGAGAGAGAGAGACGGTAAAATATTTTTAGCTTCCGCCTCGTCGCCACCAACTATTGTCAAATGACGACCGGCGATGTGACTTGTCTCATTTTCCAGCCCTAATTTAATTTTTCTTAATTTTATATGACTTCAAGCCCTATATATTTTCCTTTGTGCCATATCAGGTTCAATTTCCGCTTCGATTCGGGTCGATTTTCGGTTAGCTTTACCCCCACTATTTATAGCCATGTACCTCGGCGTTTCTGTGTAGTTTATAGTCAGCGAACGCGGCTTGTAATCTATAGATGTAGTTATATAGTTATATAGATCTATAGTTATAACCTTTGAACCTTTCTGTTTCTTTCATGCACTTTTTCGTGTGTGTAGTTTATAGTTTGTAGCCTGTAGCCTGTAGCCTGTGATTAATAACTTATTATCGAATTTCACCTGTTGACCATCATGATGTTTCTAAAAAATTGTATAAATTCATTAATTTATACAAACCACAAACTAAATTTTAACGAAAATTTATATGAATTTGTTTTTACCCGTTATCTGAGAACACCGGCCTGTCGAAAGTCGAAAGAAAATGGATATGAGGATGATAATTGAGACTGAAAAAAAGTAAAAAAGCAGACGTATAGGCGTAAAATGGATTAAAAGGATTTCTTTTAATATCGGGGGACCATTTGGAAATCCTTGTCGTGGCACTGTTGGCAGGGCTGTCGTCGCGACAGCGTCAGCGTGAGCAGGGGGACGAAGAAAAAGTTAGCGAACACCCAGGAGACCGACATCGACACGACGAGGAAGACGCCGACCTGGAAAAGTCGTTAGAACACTGCTTGCAATCCCAGTGAATTTTACGACTTCAAGATCTTCGTCAAGACACGTTACGCCTTATAATAGCCTGTACCAACCTGGAAAAAGGCGTGCGTCTTGCAGAGCAGCATCGGCAGCCCGGCGATGATCGACGAGATGGCGGCGAGGAAGACTGGGCCCATCGCCAGCTCGGCTGTCCGTTCGACCCGGTGCATCGGGCACCCCTCGGAGGGTAGAGAGGCGCCGAAGTGGAGGGTGAAGTCGAACGAGAGGCCGACGACCTGAAGACGTTCATATAAACGTGTTACCTACAGCGCAAAAGCCTAGAATCTATTCACTCACCAGCACGAGAATGACCGCCTCCAACACCCCGATCGTCCACCCGAGCGTCACCACAATCCCCACCGACACGATGATGATCGAGCAGATGGAGAGGAGACAAGCGATCGCCTGCCATCGCATCGCTATCGGGGCGAACAACGCCACGACGGCCAGCGAGATCAGGGCGCTACTCTGGCAGTCCGACACTATGGACCGTTGCAGGTCGAACCAGGTGGACATTAGATACCTAAAATCGAAAGATTCATCGTAGCTTGACAGTCACTCAAAACCCACCATTCCGTGGTGTACCACCCGCCGTGGTCGAGCTGCAGGTTTTTGTCCAGCTGGCTGAACGACACCGAGAGGTTCCGGTAGACGTGTGCGTAGCTGAATCTCACAAGATTGTGAAAATTTGTTCTTTGTTGCTCACCGTAGCTTTGTCGGTAGCAGTGCTGTATACCCGATCAACCGAAAATCTTGCGCATCAAAGATTGGGGTGTCGTTGTACTGGGTGAAAATGTAAGAGGTCGAGTTCCGGAGGCAGTAGTCGAGGTAGGTGCCCCGGAATAGAGGGGATGTAATGTTGCAGCAGACCAGGGCTGGTTGACATGCGTATCTAGACGAAATTTAAGCACATCAAGCTTTCTTACTTGCTGCTCCAAGTCAGAAATTGTTCCGGCCAATAAGGGGATGGGTGCTCGACGAAAGGGAGGGCGCGGATTCTGGAAATTTCGTGAAGAAACTGAATTGAATAACGACCGGAATACCGACGTCAAAAATCCCGAGAGTGAAAACCCCGACAACAGAAAGCTTGAGAGTTGTCGGTATTTCTCACATCCGAATTTTTGCCTCTAGGGGTTCGGCTGTCATTTTCTAGCTGTCGGGATTTTGCCGCCTTCGCGAATCCTGGGATCTTTCTCTCCCTCTTTCGCTCTCTCTCGCTCTCTCTCTCTCTCTTTAGCTCTCTCTCGCTCTCTCTCTCGCTTGAAATACCTTTTTAGTGTCCTCGCCAACTGTTTCACATCCGGGACAGTAGCAAGGGTGAAGGTAGGGTCGTCTTCCAAAGGTGGATCGGTCAAATCGCGGAACCTGAGAGTGTAGTCTTGGTTTCCATAATTTACATCTCAAAACCCTAATTTTGTACGATCGTTTTTTATGAATTTTGCTTTGAAAAACCCACATATCCGGCTGCTTGACCGGCTTGATACCCCAAACGAGCCGGGCATGCAGTGGGATGGCGATTTTCGCCTCGACAAACTCGAAAATCGGTTGTGCGTGGTTGTCATACCTAAAGGGCACTGAACCTACAGTACTATGAGCTACAAACCACTCATGCGGATTATCGGAACGGAACAGCTGCAGCGGGTTGTATTTCGGGAGTGAGAGGTTCTCGAGGGAGATGTAGAAGCAAGAGACGACCACCAGGGACAGGGAGGCCAGCCAGACGAAACGGCCCTGAAGTTTGGGTAAGTCGAGAAGGGCTTAGCTTCGACTTAGCCTTAGGCTTGGGCTTGGGCTTGAGCTTGGGCTTAGGCTTCGTTTAAGCTTGGGCCTAGGCTTGGGCTTCGGCTTGGGCTTGGGCTTAGGCTTCGCTTAAGCTTGGGCCTAGGCTTGGGCTTAGGCTTAGCCTTAGGCTTAGGCTACAGCTGAGGCTTAGGCTTCAGCTTAGGCTTAGGCTTAGGCAACTAGGCTCAGACCTAGGTATAGGCTTAGGCTTGGGCTTAGGCCTTGGCTCCTCCACGCTTTAGGTTTCAAACTGCTCAAAAATCCCCACCTGAATCAACACTTGCGGGAACACGACTTTGATCGACGTTGAAAAATACTTGGACAAGTCGGGCAGTTTTGGCAGACAGGAGAAGTATCTAAAACTCATTAAACCCGAGGTCTAGAGACTTCATACTTTTTCTGGATTATCAAGAAAGTGGGTAGGAAGGAGATGACCAGCACGAAGTTGACGCACATCGTCAGCCCGGCGAAGAGGCCGAAACAGCTAGAATTTTTTTAGTTAATTCTGTATAGCATCGACGCACCGAAAAACAATGACGTTGGAGAGGATATTCACGAAAAACGGGACCGCCGTGGAGAAGGAGGTCAAAAACATCGTTGACGCTGTATGAGCCAGTGCCTAAAATTAAAAGCTCATCTTTAGGGGTTCCTGAAGGATCTTTGCTAGCTTGCTTTAAGGTAAAACCAAGTGCTTACCTCATAAAATGACTCCTCGTTGAGCTCGTCGGGAAAATGGGAGTGCAACAAAAAGGCATCGTCAGACCCGACAGCAATAAGGAGGACGAAGATCACCAAGTTCAACAGCGGAAAGTCCGACGTGAAGCATGCGTATATCGCCAGTGCGCACAGGACGGAGAGGAGGAGCTGGAAATCATGAAGTAACTGGTTAGTTACGTAGCTTAAAAACATGACGTAACTGGATAGTTTCTCACTCAATCTCAAGTCGAATAATCGGATGCTACCTACCTGAATTTGGACGGCGAACGCGTAGAGGATGCTTCTGGAATGGATGGCGACACAGCCGGTCACCAGGAAGGCAGCGATAAGGGAATAGAAGGAGTCGGTAATTGCTGCCGAGAGTAGCCGATCCCGTTTAAGTTCCATTAAGAGGCCTAAAAATTACAGTAGCGACCATGTCTAAAAACCGGCATCCTTCCCGCCTCTCTCTCTCCCTTTCACTCTCTATTTATCTATCCCATTCTCTCGTCTCCTCTCTTCTTCATTCATTCTCTCACACCACGCGCTCGCATCTCTCTCTCTCTCTCTCTCTCTCTCTCTCTCGCTAACCCACCCTTCATCTCCAGCCCAACCGCTTCGGTATAATTCTTTATCGCAACCTCCAGGTGATCGTAATCGGACAGCGGCAACCAGATGTTTTGCGTCGCATAGCCTAAACTAACGCTACCCTCAAATTCCGAAAATCCATACCCATCCGCGTGAAAACCGGCAGGAACGCGTTGACGTGAAAGGGCTGGGCTCGCAAGTTTCGGGGCAGAATCCGGTAGAAGAGGTCGGCCATCATCGCCGTCGAGCAGTTCCTCGGGATCCCGGGGCACGAATTGTCTAGAATTCTAGGTGGAAACATTTTATTCTAGGTCAAAATCCCGACATGACAAAATAACTCCATGCAGAATCACGACAGCCAGAATGCCGACATGCCAAAATCATGACCCGAAAACATCCCGAAACGACAAAATCACGAAAAACAAAATGCTGTTAGTTAGAAACCCGATAACCCGAATCCCGACAAACTCCCGACAAGAAAAAATACCGACAAGCAAAATGCCAAATCAGGATCTCGAAAAAATCTCGACAGCCAGAAAGCCGACATGACAAATACACGAAGGGCAAAATACCGAAGTTGTACGCCTCGAATTCACTAGGGTTTCGGTTTTGGATTGTCGGGACTTTTGCCTAGCGAACTTTTGAATGTCGGTAGTATGGTTGACAGTACTGCTGCGTGACGTACCATTGCAATTCTCCCCACACGCCAGCCGACAGTCGATAATACGCTGTCGGTACGGTACGCAACTTTCCACGAGTTTCCTGACCTGAAAGGCTCATTGACGTCTTATTCGAATTCTTCCTTTCCAAGCTAACTAATTTAAATCCTGGAAAACCCTTGTTTTTAACCACCCACCACATTAACATCGGCCGTCGTCAACTCGGTGCAGTTCACCAGAAAATTCGGCGAGATACAGGCGAAAAAGTTGGCCAGACTGTAGACGTTTCTAGAATCAGAAAATAGTGAAGATTTTAGGAGCGGATACAGTATTTCGTAAGGTATACCAAGCAACACTTTCATACCTGTACGGCGTATAGCTCTCGAATGGGCGCACGGCGTGCGAGATTCCAGCGTGGAGGCCGCAGAGCCGCTTCAAGAACCCCATGTCCCAGATGGAGCCGTAGCTCGGTACCTCAACGACCAGTTGGGAGAGATGGTTCACTAAACGAGACGTTATCGTTTTTTTTACTGAAATTCTATGAAATTTGAGCCAAAAATCTTTCAAGATATCTCTCTCTCTCGCTCGCTCTCTCTCTCTCTCATCTCCCTCAAGATCTCTCTCTCTCTCTCTCTCTCTCTCGCCTCTCGCTCATCTCCCTCAAGATCTCAAAGTTTCTCTGCTAGCCTGCATGTTTTGTCTCGGTTTAGCCATTAGTCCGGCGTCATAAAACGTTCTTTTGTCTATTAGTGCGTCTTTTTAGAGCACAATATCCCAAAAGTTCTTTGCTAGCCTGTCGTCCTGGTCTCGGTTTTGCCATTAATGCAACTTTATCGGGCTCTGTTTGTCTATTAATGTGTATCTATTAATCTTTGCTAGCTTGCCCAGGCCATATCGCCTATTTGGTCCATTAGTACATTGTGCGAAAACGCCCTGTTTTCTAAAGAATCGCTGCTAGTCCTCCTACTTTTTTGCTTGTTTATTAGTACAGTACGCTAAGTACCAATTTCCGAAATAGTTCCCGCTAGCCTCCATGGACTTTTAGGGTCGATTTAGCCTTTTATGGATTATCTGCAAACCTACTCAATGGGAGCGGTGCCTCGTAGCATGGAATATTTGTGAAAGCCGACATCAAATTATCCGTCCAGCCGCGCCTTTTTCGATTTTGCGCCTGAAAACGTATTTTCGAAAGTACCGTGACCTTACCGCATGACTCGCCATTATCAGGGGCTCCTCCTTGGCGTTAAATGTCTCCCTTTTTTGCACCGATGTTGTATTTGCGCCAAGCTAGAAAAAGTCAGGAAATCATAACTTTTGTTTTGGACAAATTTTATGAAAGAGAAAGCCTACCGTAACCCTATTCGTGGTTTGGAGGACGAAGGAGAGCTTTTTCCAGGCTTGACGTTGGCCGGAATATTCCGTATTTGAGGTGTCGAAGCCCTGAAACGTACGGTTATAGGTAATTTTACGTGCCTTAATAGACGTTATATGGTTTTGTAGAATTAAATTTTTTCAAAAAAATTATGGTAGAGCTTATTTCGTTGCATATATAATTTTTCTAAAGTTTCTAAACTTTTTAAAAACCTCTTTCTTGCCATTTTCAACAAATTTTGTTTATTTCTAGCGGTCTAAGGGTAATTTTTTGTGCTATTATAATGCTATAATTTTTTTTAATAGAGTTCGCCTATTTTTCCAATGTTTGCAAGTTTTTCTTATTTTTGCGCAAGGTTTCTATACATTTTAAACCCCTATGTAAATTAAGCGAAATACCCAATTTCAAGACAATATCTAGCTTCCCAGTTCCTTTAAAATTTGCCCTGAATCCCCGTATTTTCGATTCACCCCGAGATCAGTCGAATCGAGGGGTCATGGACTCGGTTCCGCGACCCTTTTATGGGTGCTGGCCTGGAGCCCCGAGGGCGAATCGGTTGAATGGCTTCATCCCCTCCCTGCCTGGGGGTCATCCTCCCCTCACCCCCTCAACCCTGTTGTTCACTGTTCACCGTGTTGTATAATCTGCGGAACCGGATCTCTGCCCCTGAGGCTTCGGCAATGGGGCATCATGTAATACACCAAACAGCCGAATTTAATACAAGTAAAATATATGGATTGAAAGAGAGAACGAGAGAGAGAGAGAGAAAAAGAGAGAGGGAGGGAGGGAGGGAGAGAGCAAGAAAGAGAGAGCGAGAGAGAGTGCGCGGGAGAGAGAGGGCGAGCGAGGGAGAGAGTGAGAGAGAGAAAGAAAGAAAGAAAGCGAGAGGTATCTCACCGAATCGGGATACAAGGAAACCTATATTGCATATTGCATAATCCATTTTCAAAATTTCAAACATTCTAGCTTGTTTGTCATCACCCTCTCTCTCTCTCTCTCTCTCTCTCTCTCTCTCTCTCTCTTTCTCCCTCTCCTTGCCTTAAAGATTTCCTCGATGGTGTCTACAATCCCATATCCCCCAAAAGTCCATTTCCATCCGCAGACCCCGGTCTAGCGAGCAAGATCCCATTCATCCTGATGCCATTTTCGGCTCCCCGAAAAAGATTGGAAACCCCCGGTGGGGACAGCCGGTTTATCAGGCTCACCCCCGCCACACCCCGAAACCACCCCGGGAATTTGCATTTCTCGACAAAAACTGGCTGCGAAAGGGTTAAAAGGGGCCAGGAAGGGCTGCATTTTGCGAGAAGCGGCCTTAAAATGAGCAAGAACTCCTTAGTGCTTTCTGGGTTTGTTAAAAGAAAATGCGGACGATTTTGTGTTTTGCCGTGATCTACGACGGTGCCTTCTGGGCCCCTTGAAAGGTCCCGTTCCCGATGAGTCGAGTATGTTTTGAGGGTCGGTATTTCCGGGTTGGCGGGGGGGATCAGTTCTTGTGTTGACCCACTTTGGCCATCGGCCATTTCCGCGTAATCCCGGCTGTGGATCCACGCATCCCAGACCGATGACACCACCAACACCAACAGACGCACCGCAGAAAAATCCATGGGTGTCAATCAAGGTCAAAGAGGTTTTTGGGATTAGGGGAAAGTTTAGGGTTAGATGGGAGCGAGAGAGAGAGAGAGAGAGAGAGAGAGAGAGAGAGAGTGAGAGAGGCGAGAGAGAAGGAGAGAAAGAGAAACATATATAATTACAATAAATAAATCCACTCACCACTTCCGCATTCTCCGACAGAATGACCCTGTTGAAGTAGAGGCTGATCAGGGGCAGCACTCCAGTCAACACTATCGACAGTATAAATATCGGCACCGGGTAGTCGTACAGTATCTGGGACCAGGCCCGCCCCAGATGCCATCGCCTGATGCCCATTCAAATGCGCAATCTTCGAGGTAAGTTCGAGCTTCGGTGAATTATTGTAGTGTAGAGACGAAAATAAAAGTTCGAGGGTTGAGAATATAGCAGAATTCTGTCTCCGAATCCCTGTAAGTTTAGAGAAAAGCTTTAGAGAATAGGTATCTGCCACCACAGCCCCGAACTTCCGCCAGAACTTGCTCGGCCTCGAAAGCTTCAGCTGCCCTGGAAAGGATGGGGATCGATGAGTCATAGGGACGAGCTTGAGAAAATGGATCGAAATGGGGAATGACGTATCGGAAGAATAGGCTAAAAAATTTGGCTGCTATCCCGCAGTGAAATTCCGGAATGATTCGTCGAAAAAAGAGAAAGAGAGAGACAGCTCGAGACAGAGAGAGCGAGAGAGAGAGCCTATAATTAGGGACATACAGAGAGGAGAGAGAGAGAGAGAGAGCGAGAGAGAGAGAAGATAAAAAAAGCGTAATATATACAAGGGAACACATAAAGCAGAAATCTATTGATTAACAAACTCGAGATATCGAAAAACGGCTAAAAAGAGGAGCACGAGCTACCAAAAAGTATTACAAATCCATTACTAGAACCTGCGCTTTTCTCCATTTTTTTTATGAAATTTGTAGCACAACGGAAAATTCAGCAAACATCCATCAAAAGTAAAAGCGGAATCCAGTTTGATCTCGAGGCTACTAATACTAGTACTCGATTGCCAGCCCCCACACCCGCCGATCGACGATCGAACAGGTTATGTCGTTTTGCTTATGAGCCGACGACAAGCACCACAACCCCAGGCCGGGAATTCGGGACACTGCGGACCGCATACACACCAGTAAAAAAGTTCGAAAAGGATGCGTGCACGCGGGGGGAGGGGGTGCGCGAGGATGAGAGTGAGGGGGACTGGATCGCCTGCGGGGGTGGGATGAGAGAGTGGGAGGAGCGGGAGGGCACAGAGTACTACAGGATCGGGGAGGAGCATGAGGACTGTAGGTGGAGAGATTTAGAAGAGAGAGAGGGGAGGCGGAGAGGGAGTAGAGATAGAGACGGAGCATGAGGACTGTACTCGCCTGGGGGGAGTCGTGAGAGGGAAGCTGGGGGAAAGCAAGACATGACAGAGAGAGTAGAGAGAGAGAGAGAGAGCTAGAGAAATCAAGCGAATCGTACGCCTCGCCCCATTGAATATTCTGCGCGGCTCCGGGCGGACGATCGCCCCCTCTCAACCTCCTGAAAGGGGCGAAAACACACTCGACTCGCGGAACTGGTAGAAGCGATTGTAGACGGCGAGAATCGAGAAAGCGTTTAAAAAAGCTAGAGGGCGAGTGAGAGAGAGAGAGAGAGAGAGAGAGAGAGATAGAGAAAGAGAGAGGGGAGCGAGAGGGTGCATGAAAGAGCAAAGGAGCGAGAGACGTAAGCGACAGAAAGCGTCACAGAGCAATAGCATGAGAGAGAGAATGCCTTGCCAATCCCTTTAAATCGAACTCTCCGATTTTCGATACCCTGACCCGTCCATCAAGCTTTCAGCCCTCGCCCTGATGTGTCCAAACAGTCGAGTTCTTGTGCTGGGTTTTTGCCGGGGTCCCCAAAAATACCCACAAATCCATCTCCCCCCGACTGATCGGGGCCCCCAATTCATCCATCTATCCCATCCGGTTCGGACGGCAGGTTGGCCCTCGGGTCCCCTGTTATCACTCATTTTCCCCGGGGCCTCGAGGGCCATCAATAGCCACACGGACATTGGCAGCAGGGTAAACATGTCCTAAGGGTTTTGGTTTTACGTGTTTTTTAAGTTTTTTATTTCGTGGAACTTACGGAGCGCCGTTTTTATTCTACTTTTGCGTTTTGCTGATTTGCGCACTTTTCGGTCACATGGAATCATTTTCAGCAATTTTTGGCAGTTTTGCGGTGTGAGATAGCTCGTTATGTGGAGCTAAAAATTCTCAAAAAAACGATCTTTCAAAACCTGAGCTCTATCGGGCTGGTCGTGTTACGTCGCCAAAAGCGGGTTACCTTCAAAATATCGAAATTCATAATGTCGAAATTTCATAACGTCGACATTCAGAATCCGAATTTTTTGCGGAGGGTTCGGGTGGTTTTCCGCGTTTTTGAAAGATGGTTTTTTTAATGAATTTTAAGCTCTGTGAAACGAGTTATCTCACACCGCAAAAATCCAAGCATCCCTAAAACGACCCCCTGTAACCGGAAATTTCCCATTACCCATTACATTACGAAGCCAAAGGGCCAACAACAAAAATGCCGACAGGTGACGCACAGCGCCGCGACTTGGCGCCGGATTTGGTCGCATGTATGCCATTTTTCGGTGTTTCCCTCGCGGCTTTCGGCTGTCGACATTCTGTCCTTTCGGGCTTTCGGCTGTCGGCATTTTTAACGTCCGTATTTTGAATGTCAGCCTGACTGATCTGATCCCGATCGCCAGATTTTACTTTAGCGGCCTACAGGAAAAACAATTATATATTTTTAAAGCGAAGAATATCCGAAAACCAACCGCTAAATTTAAAAAAAAACCAAATTCATTTCCGCGTCGATTTGAACTTCATGGGAAGGTCAGCAATTTTTTTTGGTCCTCGGGGAATCCCCCTTCCTTTCGGCCCCTTCACTATATGACAGTGCGATTCCGGGACAGTCCGTTGACATGCCACCGCCTATCCCCCCCTGTTTTCCGGTCTACTGACCAATTGGTGATTTCGGCTAGTGGCCACACTCAACTTTGAACTCGGGTACTTTAGTGCATTTTTAGCAGGTGGATCCGGTGGTCATCGAGAAGCTGCTGCCGGCGCTGGAGCCTGGATTCTGACGTTTTCAGGCGACGATGGGTGAATACAGGTAGGGTTTTTTTGCTGATTAAAGGGTATGGAAAGGATATTACAAGGATTAAATCTATGGCACGTTTTAAGTTCTAAACTCAATTTATTGTTGCTTTTTAGCCAAGGATTGTTCAATTCGTGACCCCGAAAATCCGGCGTTTCAATCTCGTAATTTTATATGGGCGTGTTCAACTAAAATTAGTCTCTAAATTAAATTCTAAAATTCCTATTCCTAAAAAATTATAAAACTATTTAGATTTAAAATCTCGGCATTTTTGTTAAGTTTTGTTAAACTTTTGACCGGAAAATTCAAAATTTTGCGCTTATCTGGACTAATTTTCTGCATTTTTTTACAATTAGAAAGAGCGTAAAACGCTATTAAAATTATTTAGCTTTGATAAAGCGGCCCGATTCTTCCCCCCCCCCGCTAACAGATAAGCTCCTGAACCATACCATTAAGAGTTTTCTGCGAGTAGCCCTCGCAAAATTATACCATCCCCGGCAACCCCAAAATGCTCGTAGACAACCACCCCCCCAACTACTCGCCCTCATTAATCCCGATCAGCTGCCAATTTGCCACCGGGGGTTTTGGCTCTTTCTCCACCTCATGCTCCCACCCCTCCCCCCTTTCTTTGTGGCCCACCACCAGCACCACCACCTTCGCAGCTGTTTCATCCAGGGGTCTCCCCCCACCCTCCCTCACCTGAGCACGAGCTTCACCTCCCATCCCCGGGGTGGTCGCCCATAATTTTACACCCCTCTTTTTCGCTTTCCCCCTCAACCGGGCGGTGGATTTGAAGGGGGTCGGGCGGCGGGGTGGGTCCGATTATCACCCTGGCCCTTGCCCTCCCGCCGCGACTCATCAAATCCCATCTAAGGGCCCCCTTATGGCCCCCGACAGCATGGTGGCCACATTTAAGGATGGGCCCCTGCCTGGGGGCCCTTTGTTTAGAGGGCCCAGCCCATGTAAGGTGCTGCTGGCTGGCCCGCTTTTGGCCTGCAAAATTTTGGTGCTCGTGTTGGGAGCAAGTCGCAGTTGGTCCTTTTTACTAATAGACGTTTTGCTACTTAAATACTCCATCTGTGCCATTTATGTAATGCCAAATTCCTTATCTATCATATCCCTGCTCAAACAAAAAAAAACCGCGGCAAAATAATTAAAATAAGCGAAAACTCCAAATTTTTAGTTAAGGTTAGAAACCATATATATGGCATTTATATCGCTTTGATATCGCATTTTTATGGCATTATTTTTAGGATCTTCGAACAATATTTTTGACTTTCGCCTCCGAAATCTACAGATTTCGGTTTGTATTTCATTGGAACAGTGTTCTAGTCGACTGACAATTTCCTGCTTTAGATTTTGCTTTTTTAGCAAAGCGCTGTCAGCGATCTCTTTATCTTACGTTCATGTCACGAAACTCGCTAAAAATATCCTGATCCTGGCTTTCCCTATTTTTAATTCGGTTAAAAATAAGAACCGATTAGAAGCGTGCATTTCCCCAAACACATGAAGGGTTTCTCTTCCAAAAAGACAAGTTAGCAACAGCGCATGCCGCCGAACGTCGTTACATGTGTTTCGCGTTGATACTCGTACCTCAAATCTCAACTTTATGATACTAGCCCTGCCCTTAACGACCAGCTGTTCCCCTTTTTCCAAGCCCGAGAAACGATACCGAAAAACGGACCTTTTTAATTTATTCTGCTTCCTGAAAGTCAGTCTCATTTTCAGGATGGTGGCGGCCGAGGGGAACGCCCCACGAGAGATGTGGTCCTCGTGGGCCGACTTCATCATGTCGTGCATTGGATACGCCATCGGGCTTGGAAATGTTTGGCGATTCCCCTATTTGTGCTACCAGAATGGTGGAGGTGGGTCGGTGTTCGATTGCTATAAATTAGTGCTATTAATAAATTTTTCTCGCCGTTCATTAAAGGGATACCGCAAGCAGAAATATAGGTGCTATTTGGGTTGGCGGAATTTCGCACATGTCGCGCACTCGGCGGTCCAAAACCACAACGCCCAAATCCTTACATCCACATTCCTGTAGGTCAAAAACCCTAGCTACGTTTCCACTCTTTACCCGTCGAAAATGATACCC